AATGATTTAAAATTAATAATTAACAGTTTTATTTGATTCAATGGATAAAAGTGTTTAAATTATTAATAATAACAAATATTAACTATTAAATTAGATAGAATTACTAACCATTAATTTTAAATTGTTATATCATTCTTATACTCCTGTATCATATTTGGAAAGGAAGTGAGGAGAAAAAACACAACACTCTTTTTAATACTCTCCAATTTTTTATTTTTTTTTTTAATTTGGTGAATATTTAATACTCTCCACTGGATGGTAATATAACACGTTTTTTCGTGAGGGATGATAAGTGATGGAAATCAACGTTAACAAATCTTTAAGCAATTATAAAATTAACATTATTACAATTTTTTTTTTAAATACCTAAAATTGGTATCTCTGAGGACCTAAGTAAAATGGCCTATTCTCAAAAAATTCTTAAAATTAATATCCTTTAAGAACGAAGCAAGATAAATCTAAAACTCAAGCCTTCCTATCATTCCAGAGTTAGTTAAAATTTTTTAGCAATACTCAAAAATACCCAAATGTAATACCTTTTACACCCAAAACTCAAGTCTTTATAGAATTTACAGGGTAGTTAATTTTTTTGAGGAAAATTTTAAGAGAATAAAAAAGGGGGGTTAATTAAGTTAAAAAAAAGTTATCTCATATCATTAAAAAAAAAAAAAAAGATGTATAGGGTTGAGATATGTCTTTAAGCATCAATAAAATTGTACTCAAGCTTAATTTTTTTTTTTTATGATGCCAATTAACGTTTTTATATTTATTTTACCATTATTTTTTTTAAAATTATAATATATATCAAGTAAAAAATTTTTATTTAAATAGTGATTAATTGTAAATAAATATTAAAATTTTTATAAATTAATTATAATATTTCTATTTTATTGGATAAAAAAATTAAATATACTAAAATTGAATTAAGAGACAATTTTTTTTGCTGGCATTGCATCTTTTGTACAAAAGTTAATAATTCAATTCAACTTTACTAAACCTATCTTTCTATTTGAAATGTTCAAATTTAATTATTTATTTTTATTTTTTAAAATATCATTTAATACATTTGTTTATATTTTATTATTATTTTAAAAAATAATTGTAACATATATTAAATAAAAAATTTTATTTGAGAATATTTAATTAAAAATAAATATAAAATTTTATCAATAAATTATTACCATCATTATTTTTATCACTCTTCGCAATTTCATTCCTCAATAGGAAATGAAATGCCTATAATGTTTTTGTATAAATTATATATATAATTTTTATATATTATTAAATAAATAGATATTTATAATGTTATAATAAAAAATATTAATTATTAAATAATAAATAAAATTATATAAAAAAATTATCGCCCAAGAAAAACATTTTCTTTACGTAATTGCGTGGCTTTGAATTTGATTTTGATTAACGCACATTATGCCGCAAAACATCCCACCTTAGCAATAGTATAATCCAAACAGGGCATTATAAAATCAGCAAAAGCGACATCGTATGAAGAAGATTCGGATAAAAAAGGGGCATCTTCTTCCGTTCCAAGCCGAAAATGCCGAATCCGCACGTGCCACCTCACACTCACGAAGCACGACCGTACCTATATATAACCACCCATCTAACGGTCTCTCCCTCGTTAACACCTCCACGCGCCCCACGCTCTCTTCTCTTTTCCCTAAAAACGCACCTCGGCCCCTTCCCCACGAAATGGATGTGTTGTGTGGTCAATGACGCCTCTCCTCCAAATCGAATTATAAAATTACGCGGTCTCACACTTCTGTCCTTTTTTCCTCTCTCTCTCTCTCGCTCGCCCCTTCGCTTCTTTTCCGTTTCTCTCTCTGATCTCAGAGAATCCATATCGCGACGACGTTCGTCGGGAAAAGGAGAGAGGGAGAGACACTTCTGGAAGGCCTCAGTTCTAGGGATTGCGGTCAGCCATTTTTTCCGGACTGCGGTTGAAGGATTCGAGAGAGGGAGGGGAGAGATAGCGCGCGCGAGAGAGGAGGAGGAGGAGAAGGAGAAGTTGGCGTAATAATGTCGGCATTGGATTCTGTCGATTCACTTCTCTTCTTTCTCAGCGGAGCTTTCTGCAGTCCTGTAGCTGTATTCGTTCAGATCCAGGTATGTTTGTAGTACTTCGTCTTCTTCCTTCAGATCCAGCTGTCTGTTTGGTTGCCGAGAAAAACTGTTTGATAATATGACAGAATTATGGCAATCGTGTCTTCTTTGTTGTTTGATACGGAGTTGACGTTTATCATGCGTGCGGAATTGTTTGGTTCTCTCGGTTGAGTAGTCTTGAGATTCTTCTCTTCTTTCGAATGCTTCAATTCCTTGCTTTTTATATGTTTTAATTTTGTACCAAATATTTGTTTTAATTGATTTCTCGTCTTTCTTACCATTTGAATGGATGCTTGGTTTGTTATCCTTAGCTTGTAAGTTGATTTCTATTTAGTTGCAGTGGGAAGTTTCAATTCTGGATTTGTACAATTTCTCTTAACAAAGACTAAAAATCTAACCCTTACGGATATTATGATATCTTCTTTTTTTTTCCCTTCATTTTTTGTATAAGAAGCGTTGTTTACATTCTATGACGTAAAGATCTAGGTGGCGAGAATTACAAATTACTATGTGCTCTCATGAAGGCATTTGTAATACAATTTCCCTTTCTCCAAGAGGTTTGCAGTCTGAGTTGTTGTGAGCTAATGATGGCCAACAATTTGTAACTTTGGTTCCCGAGGTTGCCTCTTTGTATGAAATGCAAATATGTAGTTTCTAGGGGCGATGTATTCCCAATTTCATTTGAATGATCAAGTGGGAGTAGTCATAAAGCCTGTAAACTACTTGGATGATTCTGATTTTTGTTTAAAAGAGCTTCAAATTCATGATTCCAATTTCAACACTCAAAATTATATTGTCAAATGTGACTATGTGAGGGATTCTATTACAGATGTAATGGTATTGATCAGTCCTTACTTGTTGAGAATGCCTCTCAAGAAAATGAAGTTCTAGGAAGTTTGTTCTGAAGCATTGACCTGTTTTGCTGCTCACATAAAGTTTCTTAGTTGAGATTTGTATATTGTTGTTTAAGTATATGATGGTGATTCTGTATTTAGAAGAAAGGATTTGATGCAATCAACTGTGAAGAGTGAGACAAGAATGTGTTGTAAAATTATGTGTGAACTACATCAATGCCAATATGTTGTCCTTTGCTGACCACATCATTTTGGGGCATTGTTTTTTCCTGGGGGGAGGGCAATAAGGGAGAGAATGGGGTTAATCTGTCTGGTTTCACTTCCATCAGTTGGCTGCCAAAAGAGCACTATTCTTTTTCCACAATTCTTAATTGTCTAGGTGTCTTTTAATATAGGAAGAGTTAGCTACTTGAGCCCTGCATGACCAAATCTCTTTATTTTGCTCAGTCCCAAGATTGGGTGTGGTTGTATCCAGGAGAGAGCTATCTGATTTTGTTATTGTTATGTAATGGGTAATTACATAATTTGAGGAACTAAAAATTTTGACTGAATTTTGTCACCGGCTTGTATATCCCTTTGTAATCTCTGGGAAATGAATTCACCTCTTGCTTTGTGATAGAATCATATAGTTTCTGTTGTCTTTATTGTTGCTTGTTCCCTCTATGTCTTGCTTTTCTCTATCCTTGAAAGAAAAATAAAAATTTAGAGCCACTTACCAACTAAATGTGTTGTATTTGCTTTAGGGATGTATGATTTGCTTAACTCTTGCAATTGGGTGGGCGTTTGCTGCTTATGTCAGGTAACCATATATGGCAAATAGAATTTTAAATGATAGGCTAAGATGATCAACCTCTGTCCTCATTTTGACCAGAACACTAGCATATTTACGTTTGACATGTCTCCTGTTCATTCTTTTCCTTTCAGGAACAGAGAGATCAAACAAATGAAGGAAAGCATGAGAACAGGCAATAGCTTTGCCTTTCTTTTTCATGATGTTAATGCTCTTGAGCACTCTAATCAGGTCAATCTTCCAAGGGTTAGTGTTGTGATGCCTTTAAAAGGTTTTGGGGAGCATAATTTACATAATTGGAGAAGTCAGGTGAGTCTTTAGTGCCATGCATTTTTGCTAGCCCTTTCTCTGATGTTTTTTCTCCTTGATTCTAAGAAATAATCATTTAACATTTTCCTTTTTGCCCTTTAGCAAATGAAAATTAAACTCACTGCACTTGTTAGTTTGTGTCTAGGCATTTACATTGCAGACATATTTACCTGCCAGCAGTCATAGCTTCAACATGCTAGCTTAGATTTGAATTGAGTTGTATTTTTATTTTTAAATTCCCTTACTCTGGTTGTAAAATATTTGTTTTACCAACTTCTGTCATATTTGCTAGAATTAATTGTTCTGATATGGTTTTAATTGTGGTATTTTGATGGAGGCAGATCACATCTCTCTATGGTGGTCCTTTAGAGTTTCTTTTTGTAGTGGAAAGCACTGAAGACCCTGCTTACCGTGCAATATCCCTATTAATATCAGACTTTAAGGTGGATAACCTCACAAATTTTCTTTATCATGGATTTTTTTTGTTATATTACGTTTAAGAATCTTTTGACAAAATGGTCAAAATATGATTTATTATTCGATATGCATCATTTAGCCCTACTTTGGAAATCCTATAGAAGAGGGAATGCTTGGCTTTGATATTATTATCATTTATCAAATGCAAATATTTGAGAAGTTCATCTCAACTTCTTCACCAAAGCTTTCCTTCTTTCATTCCTGACCTGGATGCTTTTTTTCTTCACAGGATGATATTGATGCTAAAATTATCATGGCTGGTTTATCAACAACTTGTAGTCAGAAAATTCATAACCAGTTGGTACGTAACAAGTTTACAACTCTGTTAAATGGTGTCTGCTAATGCAATGGCATATAAACCAATTATTATTTCCATTATCCCACCTGTATGCATCTCCATTTCTTCTCAATTATATTTCACAATGACATAGTCCATTTTTGTGGAGATCATTATTTTTTACCTTTATTAAGGAATACATGTAAAGTGTGAAACCTGCCTTATGAAGTTCTTTCTCTGTTTTTTTGTTTTTTTGTTTTTTTTTTTTTAACCTTTTTTTTTCTTTTCTTTTTTCGTTTTTCTTTTTCTCTGGTTATATCTGATGATAGGCCTCCCCACCCATCTCAAGGATAGTCCTCAAGGGGATGCTTTACAAAGTTTTCCTTTCAGTTTTAAATTTGTCTTTGAAGGAAATGTGGTTTTTTATTTTTTTAATAGACAAAGAAGTGTGGTTTACTTAGTGATGAATCATGCCTCTTGTGTCACTCTTCTGAAGGTTGGGGTAGAGAATATGCATAAAGAGAGCAAATATGTATTATTTCTGGATGATGATGTTAGGCTGCACCCTGGGTCAATCGGAGCCCTCACTGCTGAAATGGAGAAAAATCCTGAGGTATCGTTCTGAGCACCCACATGTCTCCAACATTAATAAAATGAGTGTCTGTCAAATAATCTCATTTTACAAAATTTCTTTTAATCATGGTTATTATCTGACCCCAGTCAGAAATTCTGTGCAGATATTTATTCAAACTGGATATCCTCTTGACTTGCCTTCTGGAAGTTTAGGGAGTTATTGTATTTATGAATACCATATGGTATGGAGCCATCTATGTCTTTTGTATTCTTACTGAACTGTACATTTCATTTGACTATATTTTAAGTTGCATGTAACTTACTGTTTCATCTGTTCCAGCCTCCAAGGCCTAATTAGAAAGAAGTGTCAGATGAGTTGACAGTAATAGACTTGGTTTACTTCAAATTATATATTGGAGGAAGAAATATGATTATTTTTTATTACCTCTCTTTTTCTTCCTAAGCTATTGCATATATTATACCATATCTAATCATACATTTCTTATTATTTAACACATGTTCATCCTGCTATTTTGTGTAAACTACAATTGGAAAATTGAAAGTACTGGTGGAACAGTTGATCTTCCTGAAATTAGATAATTTAGACCAAATTGATTATGTTTTATTTTCACCCTCCTAACGAAAAAATAAAATAAAATCAGTGTTCATAGAGAGTTTTGGATATGACAGTCCCTCTGAATCTTTGATCTGTTCTCCATGATGTATGACATGCAATGATAAGAGTTTTATTAAATCTAAAAACATGAGGTGAAAATATCAGCTGTTGTGTGTGAATTTTGAATTCTTCATCTTGAAGGCGTGGTGATAATTGAATTTTATAGATGACCCATTAGATTACAAGGGTGGCTTTACCTTGTCTGTAATTACTTTGAAATTGTTTGCTGAGAGCTGATCCCAGCTAATTGACTAAAGCTTTTTTGGTTAAGTTCCTTGATTTACCATGAGATCTGCTTTTAGTGTGTAACAGTGCATTAGTCAGTTGATAATCTTATAACACCTAATTACCTTAGTTCTGGCTTACACTATATACTATTATAGGCCTTTTCTGTCCACCTTAGATTTATCTACTCATTAAGCATTTCTTTTACAGCCTTGCTCAATGGGCTTTGCAACTGGTGGGAAAACATTTTTCCTATGGGGAGGTTGCATGATGGCAAGTATCCAGTCCTATATTTCCAGAAATTTTTTTTATGTGCAAAAATACAATTCTTTTAATCTTTCTAGGTTTTTTTTTTTTTAGATGCATGCTGACGATTTTAGACAAGACCGTTATGGCGTGGTGTCGGGACTTCAAGATGGTGGATATTCTGATGATATGACTCTTGCAGCAATTGCTGGTATCATCTATTATGTTTTCTGCTACCTCTTTGAGCAAAATTAGAAGTAATGGAATCTCTCTGCTGATTATGTTTTCTCCTTCCTCAGGAGCTCACAAGAGGCTCATTACATCACCTCCAGTTGCTGTGTTTCCTCATCCCCTTGCAAGTGATCTTAGTTTCTCAAGGTTTGCAATTTTGGCCATTAAACTTAGTTATGTTACCCTTAAATGGATGCTGATTTCTGACTCCATGTCCAGGTATTGGAATTACTTGAGGAAGCAAACATTTGTTTTGGAATCATACACAACAAGGGTTAATTGGTTAATGAATAAAGCACTATTTTCTACCCATTGCTATCTGTCATGGGGATTTGTTGCACCATACTTTATGGCCATGATTCATGTTGCGGCAGCATTACAAATTTACATCAAAGGATATTCATATGATGAAACAACCTGTACTTCCAGAGGTGAGCACTCAAATTCTGCCATTTAGGTGGGTCGTATAATTGATTATATGATGAAATTGGCATGCAGGGTCCTGCAGCAGGATTTAAGTTTTCTGTTTAAATTGTTTCAAATTGTCATTAGAGTACCTTTGTCTTGGCAATGCATATTAAAACTATATGCAGAAGACCAACCTGTTTTCATTGATTGCCACATGTACAACTGGTAATCTTACTGTCATAAAGGAAGCCAACCTTGAACACTCTTCATAAAACCATCTCTCTTTCTAGATTTTGACTGATGTTTAACAGTGTCATTAAGAGTAGCCCAACCCATGCCCCATATGGACCATTTTAATAAACTAGACACACTCGGACGTAGGCTATTCTCTTGCAATTACAAGGTTGAAAATAAATGAATAATCATTGTGGCACAGGAGATTTTTCTTTTCAATCAATTCTGCAAAATGCAATTCCTCTGACATAATTATTTAATAGTATTATGTGAATCAAAAGCTCGAGCTAAAGATACACAGTATAATTTTGAAGTTGGAATTTCTTCTTACACCTTAGCATATTTCTGTTTCACAGGATTGTTACTTGTAAGCTGCCTAACTGTATGTACCTTTGCCGAACTTCTTTCTATGTGGAACTTGACAAGGGTAGAAGTTCACTTGTGCAACATGTTATCTCCTGAGGCACCACAACTCTCACTTCGTACTTACAACTGGGTCATGGTATGCATCCCTCTCTTTCAGAAACTCAACTATTATCATTTTTTTAATTTTAATTATACTATTTTATGTTTGAGCAATTAAAAAACCATTGAAGAGACCAAGGAAAACTGTGTTATTTCTGGCTATTTCAATACCTTGTCATGGATGTCTCATGGACTGTAGCACTCAATTGATCAAATGTGATAGACAACTTGTGTAGAATTCAGATGTAAAACTATCATTACTCAAAAACTTTTGATGAACTAAATAAAACATAAAAATGGTTTATTGGTAGAATGGTTGGGTAGGAACTAAGAGGAGGCCTAAACTTCTAATTAAGCCTGGATATCGTGGGACATCATAAAGGTAACTAATGTGCATCTACTCATTTAATTGAAATGGTTTGCAATGGAGCAGGTATTTATTGCACTGCTGGTGGATAACTTTCTATATCCTATCTCTGCCATGCGTTCACATTTTTCTCAGTCTATCAATTGGTCTGGTATCAGATATCACTTGAAGAATGGAAAGATAAGCAAGGTATGTTGTACATCATTTGAGATCTTGCTAATCTTTAAAATATTTTTCTCCTCATTGTGTTCTTTTCTTGTTGAGATGAGTCTAGATATAATTTTTTAAATAGTCTACTATATGTTTTTCTTGAGTGCAATTCTATTTTAATTAGCTTGCTGTGCCATTAAAGAAGATATTCTGAAGGACGCATAATTACCAAATCCCTTGGCTGTCCTAGCTGAGCCTGTTCTGTAATTTAGAGGTCAAGAGGGACAGTGCTTTGATAATTTAATATGGAAGAATGCAAGAACAATAAGACCAACAATCTTAATGAGCCATAATTTTGTTAAATACTTAGCAGCAGTATTTTCATTTTCTGCAGATTGAAAGAAAGAAGGAAAAGGGTCCAATTTTTACAGACTTGGGAGGGAAGCATTTGTATGGGAAGAAGGGAGCTCCTCCTAAAGCCTCATTCCTCAGTTCTTTGGCCAGAAGTTTAGATCAATGGCGTCAACCCAAGAAATACGATGTCTAGACTCTAGAGATTGGCTTCAGCATAGAAAATCATCTCATGATTTTGCCATCTTTTGAAGTTCAATAGGCAGCAAACAACGTAGAAAGCAAAGATTTGTGGATTATTTGGTCTTTCAATATTGATTGATTTTAGAAGATCTAGGAATTTTTTCACCGCCCCATTTTTTTCTAAATCCCTTTTAAATCAATTTTATTCTTCATTGTCAACGCCGCCGTGTGTTGGGTCTGGTTTTGTATTTTGTATCGGTTTCGTTTTGTATTTTGTATTCATATACACATTGAAATTCAAATGCGAGACAGTAGTGTTGTGGTCTTCTGTTGTATTTTCAGCGGTGGTGTTTTTGTAGTACGGATTCAAAATGCCATCTACCGTGATAATCTTGTTGCATGGACAGAGTATCATCCCTTCCAGAAAGTGAGTTGGTGAAGTACGTTTCTGATTCAGATAAAAAGTATGTTTCTTTTTTAATCAGCTAGATAAAAAGTATGTTAACATTGTGTTTTGTATTACAGACATCCCTTCATGGTTCTGATGATCATGGGTATATCAAATCATGTGGGTACAAATTTTTAACTTACGAACAGTCGCAATGTACCCATGACAATCATCGTAATAAGAAAACTTAAAGCTCCTACTCCTAAAAGGATTTGCATGTAATTTCAAAGAATAAGAACGAGATCATGGAATGGGAGTCAAATGAAATGGTTCAACTTTCAGGATGTAAGAATAAATGGTAAATCTAGGAAGGTGACAGTGTAAATTATTGTTACACTTGAGAGGAGGTACAAAATCAAACAGAAGATTCTTAAAAAGTGCATTTTCTTCCATATTTTTTAACACCTAGTGTATAAGATTTTATTCCTTAAGATCTCCAATGTAGAAGTCATCAATCATGTCGAAGACACGGGTGGCATGCTGTGGCCTGCAACAGAAAATAAAAGATGAAGTAAATAAGATTTACAGCTTTCAACATATACAGAGAATCCAGAAATATTAATCCGTGCCTTAGAATCCTTAGAAAAATCATGAAAGAAGGATTAAAATTTTCACTTTCAATTAAGTACTACTAATGCAATCTGAAATACCCTGAACTTGGCACTGATGGAGTATAATAGAACATTAAAATTGAATAATGAATATGACCTCTGGATTGATTACAAACATGATTGTCGAGAAAAGATATCAGGATTAACAAACTATCAAACTAGGATTTGGTTAATGTCTAGGTTACTATACTTCAGTTCTACTTCTAAGGAATATTTCATTTTCTATGCAAGTCTCATGTCTTGACTCTTTTATTATTATTATTATTATTATTATTATAAAGACTGAGTCTCAGTCTCTCAAATCAAGTCCATACAAGAGAAGAATCAAGTAAAACAAAAGCCAGGATGTAACCAAAAAACTACTCGATTGTAAATTGGTGATGTTTTAATGAGGAAGATATGTACCCATAAAACCCTTCAGTTGAATCATCTCCAGCATGTGCCAGAATTGCATCACCGCCTGGATGCTCTTCTACGTATGAAGTAACATCATAAACCTGTAGTTATTAAGAACAAGAAGGGGCAAACAGAGTAACAAACAAAAAAAATGGGGATTGGATTAGAATAAAAAAAAAAAAAAATCAAAAAATCCAACCAAAACCCTTGGAAATACCTTATCCTTGATAATGATCCAACAGTCAGTTCTCTTGTTATGTAAAGCAACTTCTGCTTTACTATAGGATATAGATACCTGGATGCAAATAATAATATTTACAACAGAACTGGAGTCAATAAATATGCAGCGAAGCCCATTTGCAACATTGTTTGATACATCACTCACATGTTAGACCAAACAATGACCAAATTAGATATAAAGATATCACCTAATTAGATATCTAATCTGGAGATGAGTTTATTTTACAGAACCAGCCACAATTCAAATTTTAATGCATACATATATGGCATAAAAAAACCAGGATGCAAGTCCCCAACTCATCATTTAGTTGCCAAGAAAAAAATAGTAGAAGTAAGAGCAAAAATAAAAATTTTGGACCAGATATTTGTTATTTTGTATTGTGTTTTTGATAGATCTATCCTCAAAATTTAAGATCTCACAAAAACAAGACTAGCAAACATCCATTTCACTCCTCACATTCAAGAATGTCTAAATGCAACCGAAATGATTCAACAATAAAATACACAAGCAACCAGACAGGCAAATGAACAATGTGATGTACACGACTGACAAAATTAAAAGCTCCAAGTAATTTATTGAAGTTCCAAATATCAAAAGAGTACCTTTCGATGGTTAGCAGCCTGTTTTACTTGACCTGCACAGAGCAAGGCCTTACTCACCAACCAATTATAACCCCAAAGACCCAAGAGGAAAATGGAAAATAACATAGGGATTACCAGAATTACGGCCTCTTGGGATCAAAACAAAAAGTCCCAATAAGACACCCAAAACCAGTGCCACAACAGCTATCATCATATCCCAAACTCAACTGCTTTTCCTGTTTGAACAGATTTGGTATAGCAAAAGAAAAGAAAAGAAAAGAAAGCAAGTAAGATCATCCCAGAGTTTGAAAGCAAACCCATTGCCCAAACTTGATCAACAAAGAGAAATTTCAATCTGGTAATGGTTTGATTGGCATTTTGGAAGAACTATGTTCTTTGACCATTTAACCAAAAGGGCTCGAAATGCACTTCCAAAGCGTCGAAGAAAACAGCTATTTAGGAGCTTAAGAAATGTATTATAGAGCAGAAGAATGGGTTCTGCTGCGAAGAGGGAGATAAGTGGAGATGCGCAGAAAATTAAGAGCTGAGGAGAGTGAGGCTACCTTTGAGCTATAAAAAAGGGTTCCAGTCTTGGTACCTGGTTTTCCCGGCGATCGTGACCCCGGACTCCAGAGACATTCGCCTGTGCGATGCTGTTGTAAAGAAACTGCTGACGCGATTGAGTAGAATGCTGCGGTCTCGGGTGCAGGATACAGTGGAAATTGAAAGTAGAAAAAATTCTCGAGGCTGCTCCTAAACTTTAAAAAATTTGAAGATTTTTACCCTCAAACTTAAAATTAAGGAATTATAATCTTAATTGAAATTGTAATTATAATATTATCTTTTTTGAATATAATAACTTATATAATATAATTTGTTATTTTTTGATTCACATTTCTTTAGGGAGCATGCTCATGAATTGCTATTCATCAACACATAAAATTAATATATTAAAAATATTTAAATAATTTCACTAGTAATTTAAAGTTTTAAAATGCACTTTACAAGTCATTTTCCTATTATATACTTCTTTTGTTTATTTTTAATAAATTTAGTTTGACTTTTTGAATTTTAAAATATGAATTTTAAATGAAGTTTAATGGTTTATAGGAATAACAATTAATTTTTTTTATTAAATAAAAATACTTAAAAAAACTATATATAAGGACAAAAAAAACCTTCAATTTTATTCATATAGATAGTTCAATTTTTATTCAAATAGTTCAATTTTTATTCAAAATTTAAATCTTAAAAGTATAAAAATAAAACAAATCAACTAAAAATAAATTAAAAAAATAGCATTACCACCTCAGCTACCTTTTGCCAGGTGATTTCTTTTTGGGCCAAATTAAAAACACTCTCAAAATAAGTGGGTTAAATTAGATATATTAAAGATGTATGGGTCCCATCTCAAATTAATAAAAAATATAAATAAACCTAAAACCTAAGCAAAATAAAGAAACCTCTGCGGCCTGGCATCAGCAGCAAACGACGTCCATGGAGAACGAAACGAAGCTGAGTATTTACAGAGCCGCGAGGACGATAAAGCGCAAAGAGAACACTCTCTACAACGCACTCAGATCCATATACGAGGACTCCATCTTCGTCGGCGAGATCTCGCAGCTCTGGCCGGAACTCCCTCTCCTTGCCAACCTCCGTTGCGGTCTCTGGTACTCTTCCAAATTCCACTCCTCTTGCTACTTTAAATCCACCGACGGTCACACCAATAATTGGTCCTTCAACATCTCGCGCCTCAACCTCCATGTTGCCCTCCTTGCTGGTATGTTTCTTAATCTTTTGTTTGGTTGCTGGGAAAGTTGAGTGAGAAAATGCAAGTGGAACGGAAGTTTATTAGTTTAGAGAAATGGATTTGTTAAAGCTAGCTCAGGATTATGGAGCTCCTAAATGAAACTGTCCTCCTTTGGTTGGTTGTTGGAAGAATTGAATAGAATTGCAGGTGCTTTTTTTGTGTCTTATGCTGTTTGGATTCTGTGAATTTGAATGTGATAGATGGAAATTTAGAACTGCAGTGTGTTCCAAACTTTGATGTTTGTTTTCGGTTTTCAGTTTTCAGTTATTTGATTATATTAGCAGCTGAATTACTAGTTTGTTTATTGGTAGGACAGAAGGGAGGGTGTATCATGGTTGATTCCACTCGAAGGGGGAAGCGGTTTCCAGACAGCATGTCAAAAACAATACCTATTTGGACGTGTGTTTTGAATAGGTCCATTGCCAATCATTTGCACAAAATTGGTGATTTAGTGGAGCAGGTGAGAACTGATAGTGTTCGTTCCTCTTGATTATCAAAATTTTTACCTTCTCCATCGCATTTGACTGGTTTATTTCAAATTTCTTGCCTGAAGTAAAAAAGTAAAAGAGACTTATGTTGCATTTTGTTCATGTTTGAAAAGTCTGAATATTATGACAACACTAATTCCTTTGATTGTTTTTTCACATTGAATACCAGTACCATTTAGCAAAATGTAGTCAAAGTTATGCTTTTGCTGCATTTCATTGCACGGTTTTCTGGTGCACAAATAGCCTTAGTGTGTTAAACTGACTTGATTGTTCCTATCTGAGACAGAAGTCTGTTGGTTGGGATTGTTCCTTGCATCTTCCTCTTTGGGTTTCTGACACTGAGAAAGCAGCTATTGAAGATAGGTTGGAGGGATGGACCAGAGAGCTGGATGAGAGTGGAGCTGACATTGCATCACTTGCATTGTGCTTAAAAAAGCCTTTACGTCCTCTATGGATTTCTCAGAAAACTGTCATCTGGTTAAATGAAGTGCCTGATCACAATTCTTGGGACTTTACACCCATTATTCTTGTTTCTGCCTCCTTATCAAGCGGCATAGCTCAACATAGGACCACCTCAGAGTTTAGCTGGAATTATATTCCAGGGGCTGGAGATGATGAAGAGAGCTGGGCAAGGGGTTTATCTCCTAATCTTTTTTGGAAACATGCCTATGATCTTATTAATTCAGGGCCTGATTCATGTAACCAGAAGGTAGCTGATATAGTTGAGAAGGATAGGGTATACCGTTCTCAAAGGGGACATAATGCCCCTCAGATCACTGCCAAGGCCCCAGTGTCAGGGAGCTCAACACAATTTTCTGATTTAGAACCGTTATCTTTGGATATTTCAAACCTTAAACTTAACACAGACTCTTCTGATGAATCTGCAATATCTTGGTTGGGATCAACCAATCTAGCTTTAGGTCCTTCTCAACTTGGTATGCTTTCTACAATATCCACTGTTGATTTTCCATTATTATTGCTTTCTTTAGTCACCAATGTTTTACAATATTTGGAAGTGCTGAAGCACTCTTAGTTCCCCTGTAAGCCCCTTTATTTATTTATTTTTATTTTTTATTTTTGGCTTAAAAGCAATTGTATGACATGCAAGATGATGTGCATGATAGCTCATTATGGCATTAAATTGTGGAAGAATTTTTTATTGGATTCTTACAATGAATTTGGCTTTTATAGAACCCACTTCCAAACAACTTCCCTGACTAATTTTATATCTGGTGCTTGTTGTCATCTTTGCCAATCATATTTATTCCATGTCTTTGTATGACTAACTGATGGAAGATGTGTTTTATTGAAAAATTCTCTCCCTGAGGATTTATGTTTGGAAGAGAGCTAATCCACTTGTTTTAGGAACTGCCCATTAGATTGATTGTTAGGACTGAAGTATGATATTGTGTAGATGAGGAGGATACTGAATTCTTTGGAATTAGCAGAGGTAATCTATGTATTACCATCCATTACCAAAGGAGGTGACCCTTGTTTGATAGTTGGTACCAAAGGAGAACTAGAGAGGCTTATCAGACATTGTTTAGTTGCAACTATTTATTTCTCATTGTTTAGTTCAATCCTACTATCTCTGAGATTAATCAAGCAGTAAACCATTTGTTTGTGATTCTCAAGTTAGCTTATTCTTATGGTTTTCCTTTTGTGGTGCAGCCGCAAATTTGTCTGATGTTGATTGCGTATTGAATTGCGATCAAAAGTCAATCTCTATCTCTCTTCCAGATGGTGAAGCATATTTGCATCTCCCAATAGTGGTGTGTATAAAAGCAAGCCAAAGATCATGCTTATTTATTTGACATGTTTATATTTTTCTCACAAGGTTTTATTGTTCCTGTCCAGAACTCAAAATTGGATCGTTTTTCCTTGTTTAACAATCTTCCATCTGCAGTTGGCTTTGCTAGATTGAATCTTAGTAAAGGGAGAAAACTTCTTGTTTGTTGTCATAATGGTAACTATACTTTTTCATCTTCTTTCCTTTCTTAAATAATTGTTATTTTAATTTGTACAATTAATTTTTGGTTGAGCTTTAAATCTCTACTGTAGTTGGAAATTAAAATGGAATGATTCATTTTTATGGATTCATGAAAACCCTCAAAATATCTTACAAAATGTTCTTATGCATTCTGCTATCAGGGGAAGACATCAGTGTTTGTATCTGCCTGGCAATCTTGATATCATTTTTTGATGAAGGAGGTATGTCACCAAATCTTGCACTGAGTTTGCATGTTTAGACTCATAGTTAAAATTTTCATTTGGATCAGATTTATCCTATCACACAGCTGTTCTTGTTTGGTTGTGTCCTATCCATCCCCTGGCTTCCACTCCCAAAAACCAATCCCAAAACCCAAAAAGAGGAAATATTTTCCCAATATTTATTTATCTTTCCCTTTGCAAGTGGGGCTACTGTTATTAGAATGATATTCAGTTCTTCCTAGACCTGTAACAGTCTTGCTTCCTTATTTTCTTGGTGAAATAATATCCTGTTTTATGCTATGTTGTTTACTTGTTTAGTTAATGAGCATATCACCATTTTTCTTCAGGATCTTTTGATGGCGGCAAATCCTTCAGTGAGATGAGTATCACTAAGGCTGAGTTGCGCCGCCGCCTCATATTTATCTGTAAATTTGCAATAAATGCCCGGCCATCAAGAGGAAACCTGAAGCAGGTCTTTAGCTTTCTTTGCAGTAAAAAAGCTACTCCAGTTTAATCAAGGCTCTCTCATTTTAAGTAAGCTAACTCGTAAGCTGTTTCTTTACAATTCTTTAAGGGTTAGAGTTGTTGCTTGACCAAAGCTAGAGAGATCTCCAGTTAATGCCTGTATGTTATTTTTTATTCAAGTAGATTGTTCAGCTTAGTTAGAAAGATAATTCCAGAAAGAAACAGAAATAATGAAAAGCATTTCTCCATAAAACAAATATTGTATGTTTATATATTTTGGCCGGCATTATCGTATGTTGTAAAATCTTCTCTGGATTTTGGAGGCTGTATTTTATTTGTTCACTTACTCTCTTTAATCTTTGTGTAAAGATGCAAAAGTTTAATCTAATGATTTGAACCTTTTGGATGGGCATGGTCACGAACTGGGGATGCCATTTGCAAACTATTTATTTAGTCATAGTGCGGGTCGTAGTCATTTTTTTTGTAATACTAAAGATAAAAATTGAGGCTGTTTAGTGACGCTGCAGTTGTTTTAAATATATAATCCATTACATACTTATTGCTGGATTATTATATGTAAAATTAGTGGTTAAAAATAAAAGAATAAGAACAATTATGTTACTACATGTGCTCTTAGTCTAATGCGTGCAAATTGATCCGTAATATCTTTCGATTGTAATTCTCTTTTTATTTTATTTTATTTTATTTAAGGTGTTCTTGGCTCACTTTTTACGAACCGCAAGACTTATGTCTCTTCAAACGAGCTTAATGATGCATCTCTTATATCAGTATGGTATATTTAAGGAATTCTTTGAATACAAGTTTTAAGACTTAAACTATAAACTAGATCTATAAGATAGTATTTATTTATTAATAAATTTAATCTTTATGGTTAAAAAATTTGTGTTAGTTTTAACTCTTTAGCTTTAATGCAAATTGGAAAGAAAGAGGAGGAAAAGAGAAAGCAACCGGTGGGATTGGATCTTTTGCATGGGGTCTGACCAAGACTATACCCGTCATCGGAAAAAAGAAACCTTCTCTAAATTATCCCAACACTGGACCCCTCCTCCTTTCATTTTCTATTGATTATAATTATAATTTACCCACTGCTTAAAGTTTAAACCCTCTAATTATATATTTAAATCCCTTGTATTCTCCATGCTACTTGGGACAAAAAAGTTTTGGTGAGCCCATTCAAACATCACCATGCCTATGGGCCATGCCTTTGTGCCCTGTGTCC